TCACATAGCACCTCCTGTGCACCCACCCCCGACCCTAAGCAGCCGCTGATCTGCTTTCTGCCTCTATGTGGCTGCCATTCTGGGCATTTTGTGTCCGTGGAGTGATGTGCGTGTGTGTGTGCGTGTGCGTGTGCGTGCATGTGTGTGTTCACACGTGCCCGCCCGACACCGTTCACTCTGTCAGGATTCATCCATGTGGGGCAGATGTCAGTCTTTATTTCATTTTATTGCTGAATTATATTCCATTCTGAATAGAATGCATATTTCATTTTTGCTTATCCCTTCATCAGTTGATGGACATTTGGGTTGTTCCCACCTTTGTGGCTATTATAAATAATGCTGCTCTGAATAATGGCAGATTTTGTGTGGACAGGTGTTTGCATTTCTCTTGGGTAGGTAGCAAAAAGCAGACTTGCTGGGTCAGGTGATAACTTTGTTTCCCTTTTTGAGAAACTGCCAAACCCTTCACAGCGGCTGCACTGTCTTCCATCCCCGCCAGCAGCGCACCCGAGTTCTGATTCCTCCACATCCTTGCCAACAGCTGTTATTATCTGACTTTTTAATCACAGCCTTCCTGGGGGGAAGTGGTGTCTCAGTAGGGCTATAAGTGCTATTTTGCTTGTATCTCCATGTAAATTAAGGATAAATGAAAATTATGGTAAACCTGATTATGTAAATAAATGATATGTAAAATGTTGTTTTCTGAACTGGAATTAGCCTCCACCGACTGGTCGGATGTGTGTGCTGCGCGTTCCATCTGCGGCGGCTCGGGTGCTTGGTGTTCACGGTGGGCTTGTTACGTCCTTGTCCCCCTGCACCCTGGGGAGGGCACGGACGCAGAGGTGCCCTGGCCGCTGTTGGAGACCGGGTTCAGTTTAGGAACTGCTTCCTTAGTCCTGCGTCTGCATCTGATATGAGAATAATCAAAGCATGAAGTATCAGAACTTCTGTCTGATAAAAGTGCGAGACTGAGTATAAACTTCTTACCAACAACACTTAACGCGATCTAAGCGCTCTTCTTTATTTAATAGCTTTAGCCTTCATTTCTGATACATGTGTGATTTATTTTTGTCTAGACTCCACTGGTTGGAGACAACTAGTGCCCCCCTTAGCGCAGATCTAGACCCTATCATGGGCCTCGGTGAATGCCTGGGGCTCCACTCCGCCTGCTTTCCGCCCCGCTGAGACGCCGGGCGCTGCGCTGCCCCCTGGCGGCCCCGGCGCGCAACTGCGGCCCCACGCTGCTGCCCGGCCTCCTGCTGTGTGACCTTGCACAGAGGCCCCAACTTCTCCCCTGTGAAATGGGTTAATAATACTGCATCTCACAGTGTTGTGGCATTAGATGAGTTAAGTATAAATGCTGAAATCATCACATGGCACGTAACAGTGTTAGCTGTTACTATTCTGACCTCAGTGCTTTAGGTAAGAAATTAAATCTGTGTATTTAGAGTCATAAATCACTCCACGTTGATTGGTTGTGGCCAAAAGTTTATTTTGCACTGTTGTGTATGTACTTTGCTATACGTAATTTTTCAGTTTCCTTATACCTCACATTGTAAAGTTAAAGGGCAAAAAAATCGTGCTAAAATTTGAAGGTTCTTAGTTTGAAAGCGGACGGATAGCATATGGGAATAAGTGTAGGCACAGTAGTGGAATTTTTTAAAATCTGTTTTTGAATTTAGGAAATGAAGTAATCAGTGAAGAGGACTTTGTTCTGAAAATGTATTACTAATTAAACTAAGTGCTTGCAACCCAAACTTTTGAAGCAAACTATAGATTTTGTATGTATGTTTTTACATGTTACAACAGAGTCATTTCTAAGTAAGTTTTCCTGTTATCCATTCCTTTTCCCTTTCTGTTTCATATATATATGTTCAAGGCGTGTGTGTACGCATGCTATGTGTATGTGTACATGTGTGTACATACACGTGTGCATGAGTACTTACATACGTGTCTCAAACGTTGTTGAAGTAAGGTGCTGATTTTCTGTTCAGTACTGTGTTGTGCGTGTTCCCCCTACTGTTAAGTAGTTCAAGGTAGCATACATTGCTCATTGTGGTTGTAACATTGCTTCCTTTCTTATGTATGGTACTGTAATGGTCCGTTTCATTCATATAGCTCTTTCTTCTCTCTTAAATCATATCTGTAGAATAAATTCAAGAGAAAAAGGCTTAATGAGGACACGAATGGCTTTACGGCCCTTGAAATGTCTTCCCACGTTTTTGTTCAAAAGAGTTATGCTGTCATGGCTGTTAGACACTAATTACTAAGAGCTTCCCCCTTGAAACGTGTGCTGGGAGCGCAGCGGGAAGGCTCGGGGCTCGGCTGAGGGGGCCCAGAGCCGCGGGGGGCGGGCAGCCCCGCGGAGGTGGGACTGGAGGGCGAGGCTGGAGCGTGACGTCACTCTCGAGGCGTGGTTTCCCTCCTTGCGTGTGACGTCTGTCGTCTCCAAAACGCGTTTCTTCCTAAACTGAGTGACTTCCTTTCTGCCAAGCGCACGGCACAGCGGAAAGAGCCCATAGGCTTGGACGAACCGTTGCATTTTCGGAGCTTCAGCCTCCTCGCATTAGGAGCGTACGTGATGCCCCCTTCAGAGAGTTTTGGGGCTGCAGACAGTGAGCGTCGCCTGCAGCCTTACTTCAGAAAAGGTCTGCAGGGAAGAGCCAGGGCGCTGGTGACGGCTCGGCAGGCGGCTGGCGTGGAAGGTAGACCTGACGAGGCGTCACCGCTGGCTCACGAGGCCGTGGTCAAGCTTCCTGCTTCAGAGGGAGCACCTGCCTTCCCGAGACGCTGCCAGTCCACCACCTCCGGCGCAAACCCCACAGCCTCAACCTGCAGAGGAAAGCTCGCTCTTCACTCTTTAAAGTGACCAGTGGACCAACTCCCTTCCCTGCTTCAGCCCTTGCGAGCTAGTTGCCAGGTGCCATGTTAGGTGGAGGGACTGTGACAGCAACTGGAACAGCGCCCTTGACCTCGACAGTCTCCCTCTGACCCGGGGGTCCGTCCTGCTTGAACTAGCGGGACAGCTGGTGACCCCCAGACCTTCTGCTCTCAGCATCACCTGGGGGCTTTTAAAGTTCTGTTGCCCATGCCTGGCTCTGGATGGTTCGGTCAGGATTCAGTGCAGGCATCACAAGATCTAAGGTGGCGATCGTTTCACAGCGTGCACACGCCCCGTCATCACACTGCCCACCTTCAGTGACAGCGGGTGTGTCCGGTATGTCTCAGTAAAACGGGAGGAGAAGGAGCTTAATGCAAGTCTAAGTGATGCTCCGTAGGAGCCTGTACTCACGCTGCAGGAGGAGTGAGCCGTTTTGATTGGACAGGGAATTGGAAGAAGCCTTTCCCGGGAGGGTGGCAGTCAGACCAGAGACAGGACTCGGTCTGCATCACGAGGGGGACGGGGGACAGCCAGCAGGGGCCTGGGAGCGCGTGGATTGGCGACAGCTTTAGGAGCAGCAGGCAGCCTTCTGAGACTGTTCTGAAGGGAGTGGAGACTGGGGAGGAACCGGGAGGTATAAAGCTAGACTCATGGGTCGGGAGGGGCCAGCCGGTAAAGCGCTTTACCCTTTTTAAGGAGTTTGGACATCACTGTGAAGAAGATGAGGGAGACTTGATGAGAGAATGATGCAATGAAATCTGATTTGGAGACATCACTAGTCTCTAGTGTACAACATCTTCAGAAATAAATTCCAGGTGGATTTACAGTAATAGAAAAAGTAGAGAACGTTATTTCTGTATTTTGAGGGGGTGTAGGGGGAGCCTTTTGTCAACATGAGATGAATTTCAAAGCTATAAAGGAGACCCTGAAGACTGACGGATTTTACCAAGGAAGTATTTAGAACTTCTCTGCAGCACGCTGCATTCTGAATAAAGTGGGAAACCCAAAGGCAGACTAGGGAAAACTGATTGCTGCCTGGGTGACACAGAGCTAATGTACCTGACGTGTGATGAGCTCTTAAAGATTGAGAAAGAAAGATGAACATCCCAAAGAGAAAAACGGGCCGAGGACATGAGCAGGCAGGTTTCCAGGAGAAACACAAGTAAGTGCTAAGCACACAGAGAGATGTCCGTCCCCAGGAATCGGAGAAGCGCAGCGCCTGAGCAGGAGTGGGTGTTGCAACCTGCAGACTGGCATGGCGGATGGAAAGCGAAGAGGACGACGTCGAGTGCTGGCAGAAGATGTGAGGGAACGGGCACACTTGGTGACGTTCTTGCGGGGAGGTCAGTTGCTGCACCCTTTCTATATCCGAGCTTAACCCCCAGTGAGAAGCCTTCCCTAGGGAAGCAGAGGTTTGGCGTTGTTGGCAGTGCCAGGGAGCAGGAAACAGCGGCAGGGCCTGCCCGCAGGTGAGCAGCGGGGTTTTGGCAAGCCTGCATCCCAGCGCTCGCCCTGCCTGGGGAGCAGGGGCGGGGGTGCTTCCTACTTGATACACGTTGTAATGTGTGGACGTTTTAAGAACCGCCCTGTACCATTTCTGTGTGAAACCCTCCCTCCCAGAAACCCCAGCCAAGGAGAGGCCGGCGTTCCTGGGCTGGAGGCAGGGGGAGAGGCGGGGCTTGGGGCCAGGAGACCGGGCAGAGTTTTTACCCAGTTCAGGTGTGAGAACTGGTGGTGGTTTGAAGGAGGGGCCGGTCGGGAGACGTCTCAGAAGCAGAGGTGGCGGGTGTCCACTGTGCAGACACAACGCGCGGTCGCGGTGACTGCCGGCTGCCAGCTGTGCCCCCCGTGGCTGGGGACGGCGCTGTCAGGAGTCGGAAAGCAGGAAAGAGCGCGTCGTTTGATGAGCGTGTGAGTGTGACCTGGGCGAGGGCCTGACCAAGTCGTTGGCTTCCGTCAGCGTGTCTCCGGCACAAGCCGTGCGTGCTCTCTGCGGCTTGTCTTCTGCAGCCTGTAGGTCTGCTGCTGCGTGACGGGAAGCATCAGTGCTTAAATGCTGTGAGCCGCGCCTTCTACGTGTGTGTTTCTTTACCAGTGGGTTTTTGTTCTGTGTTTGCAGAGCGCTCACTTGGCCATGATAGATACCCTCATGATGGCCTACACCGTAGAGATGATCAGCGTGGAGAAGGTGGTGGCGTGTGCTCAGCAGTACTCCGCCTTTTTCCAAGCCACAGATCTGCCCTACGACATCGAGGACGCGGTCATGTACTGGGTGAACAAGGTAGGCGTGTGCTCCCGCCAGCCAGCGGAGCCCCGTTACCAGGGAGCTGGCATCCTTGGTTAGCCATCTGGCTCTGCTCTGGACTGAATGTTTGTGCCCCCCCCCAATTCAGTGTTGCAGTCAGACCCCCCAATGTGGTGGTGTTAGGGGGTGAGGCCCCTGGGGCTGACGAGGTCACGGGGGCCTGGGCCTCATGCGTGGGATCAGTGCCCTTATAAGAGAGACCCAGAGAGCCCCTCGCCCCTCCTGCCGTGTGAGGATGCAGCAAGACGATGGCCAGGAAGCAGGCTCCCCGGACACCGAATCTGCTGGCGCCTTGATCTGGGACTCCCCAACCCCCAGAACTGTGAGAAAGGAATGTCTCCTGTGGACAGGCCTCCCAGCCTATGGGAATTTTTGTTAGAGCAGCCTGTGCTGACTAAGACAGACTGCGCTACTCAGTCTTAAATCAAAGTGAAAGCGAAAGCTGTGTAACCTCTCTTAAAATTTCCCTTTTGACTTAAAAAAATGCTGTTAAAATGAGGAACATAGATGCCACAATATCTGTAATTACATTTATGATTAATCTAGTTCATATCAGATTAGTACAGAATTCAGAGCACTCAGGGAGGGAGCTATATGCTTCAGGTGCTCAGTAAGTATTCTTTGAATCCAAGAATGAAATAAGTTTCTCATATTTCCAAATAGATGATTTTTAGGTGAGGAAACACGTGAGGACAGTCTGGTACTCATGAGAGTCAGCGAACGTGGCGGATGAGGGTCACACGTGAGAACTTCAGAGAGAGAACAGTTTGAAAAGATGAAAATAAATAAATGTGTGAGGGGCTGAAAAGAAAACGTGGAGTAAAAGCCATAGGAAAGATAAAGGCAAAGTGGAGGGTATACTGGAAAAAGAATGAAATGCAGCTTTAGGAATTTAAAATTTTAGTTGTTGAAATAAAAAGTTTAGACAGGAGGTTAGACATCATTGAAGGGGGGATTAGTCAGCAGGAGGAAGTTACCCCGAGCGCGGCCCGGAGAGATGGGGTGTTCATTTGAGTGCTCCTGGCATTTGACATCAGAGATCTGAACACGCTTTTAAAGGTGCACGATATTTTGTTGTTATTTTGAATATAAATTCAAAGTAACGTTTTTATATTTTGAGGTAAATGAACATTTGAAAGACATCATGGAACAAGAACAGAAATTGAAGGAACACCACACAATTGAAGCTCCGGGAGGTCAAAAGGTATGTATTTCCAAGAAAAAGAAAGGTGCCTTTATGAGACTCTGTGTTGACACACGTGTGCTGTTGGGGGAGATGTTAATAGTGGCGCTCATTAAATCATTTTCTCGCGATGTTAACTAACTGTACTCTGGACAGCCTCGTCGTAAATAGCAAGTAAGTAGAAGCCCAAAGGAGGGCTAAGTGGATGATGGTGTTTACAAAAAATCGTTAATGACTGGAGCTCAGTTTCTGAGGTTCTTTTGGCAAAAATAATGGTTTTGCCTTCGTTTGGTAAAATATATGAAACGAAAAGTTTTCAATGTGTCAGCTTTATAATCACTTGTAATAAGACTAGCCTTTAAAATTATATTCCAGGAATTGTAAGTTGTCCGTATGGTTTTTCTCTGAAGGAAGAAGGAACATTAACATGGATTCATTCTTTAAAAATTCTTAAACAGGCTTTAGTTTTTTTCTTTGAAGATCTGTGTGTGTTGCATACTAAAGCCTAAGGTACATTGTCTGCAGCACGAGAGAACATCTTAGGTCTTTTTAAATGTGTTACGAGAGTCCTTTGAACATGTTGCCTGGCCTTGAAGTTGAGGTGTAAGAGATTGTATTATTCAGAGACTTTATTTTCCATTTGGACTTTTTTTTAGTTAATACTGCATTATATACTTGAAATGTGCTCATAGAGAGACTGGACCTTTTAAAAATTTTTCAGTGAAGTATAGCTGTTTTACAATGTGGTGTTAGTTTCAGGTGTACAGCAAAGTGATACAGTTACACATGTATTTATATTCTTTCATATTTTTCATTGTAAGTTATTACAGGGTATTGAATATAGTCCCCTGTGCTGTACAGTAGGTCTTTGTTGTATATCTGTTTTATATATAGTAGTTTGTATCTGCTAATCCCAAACTCCTAATTTATCCCTCCTGCTGCTTTCCCCTTGGTAACTGTAGGGGATTACCGAAACCATTTGTTTTCTGTATCTGTGAGTCTTTCTGTTTTGTAAATAAGTTCATTTGTATTACTGTATTTTTTTTAGATTCCGCATGTTAGTGATTTCATATGATATTTTTCTTTCTCTTTTTGATTTACTTTTCTTAGTGTGATAATCTCTAGGTCCATCCATGTTGCTGCAGATGGCATTATTTTATTCTTTTTTGTGGCTGAGTAGCATTTCATTTGTGTATATATACCATACCTTTATCCAGTCATCTGTCAATGCACATTGAAGTTGCTTCCATGTCTTGACTGTTGTAACTAGTGCTACTTTGAACATTGCAGTGCATATGTTTTTTCAAATTAGAGTTTTTTTCCAGATAAATGCCCAGGAGTGGGATTGCTGGATCATATGGTAACTATTTTTAGTTTTTAAGTAACGTCCATACTGTTCTCCATAGTGGCTGCACAAATTTACATTCCCATCAACAGTGTAGGAGGGTTCCTTTTTCTCCACACCTCCTCCAGCATTTATTACTTGTAGACTTTTTAATGACGGCCAGTGTGAGGTAATAACCTCATTGTAGTTTTGATCTGCATTTCTCTAGTAGTGATGTTGAGCATCCTTTCATGTGCTTATTGGCCATTTGTATGTCTTCTTTGGAGAAATGTGTAAGTCTTCAGCCTGATTTTTGATTGAGCTTGTTTTTTTGGTATTCAGCTATGTGAGCTGTTTGTATTTCTGGAAATTAATCACTTGTTGGTTGCATCATTTGCAAATATTTTCTTCCATTCCATAGGTTACCTTACTATTTTATTTATGGTTTCCTTTGATGTGCAAAAGCTTTTTAAGGTTAGTTAGGACCCATTTGTTTATGTTGGCTTTTATTTCCATTACTCTAGGAGACAGATCAAAAAAAAATACTACTGCAATTTATGTCAAAGAGTTTTCCTCTAAGAGTTTTAGAGTATCTGGTCTTACATTTAAGTTTTTAATTCATTTTGAATTTATTTTTGTATATGGTGTTAATAGAATTTTCAAATTTCATTCTTTTAACTGTAGCCGTACAGTTTTCCCAGCACCACTTATTGAAGAGACTGTCTTTTCTCCATTGTATATTCTTTTTCCTTTGTCATAGATTAATTGACCATAAGTACGTGGGTTTATTTCTGGACTTTCTACCCTGTTCCATTGATCTGTGTATCTGGTTTTTGTGACAGTACCACACTGTTTTGATTACTGTAGCTTTGTAATGTAGTCTGAAGTCAGAGAGCTTGATTCCCCCAGCTCCATCCTCCTTTTTCAGGATTGTTTTGGCTATTTGGGGGTCCTTTGTGTTTCCATACAAATTTTAACATTTTTTGTTCCAGTTCTGTGAAAAATGCCATTGGTAATTTGATAGGAATTGCATTGAATCTGTTTGCCTCGGGTTGTGTGGCCATTTTAACAATACTGGTTCTTCCAATCCAAGAACATGGCATATCTTTCCATCTGTTTGTGTCGTCTTCAGTTTCTTTCATCAGTGTCTTACAGTTTTCTGAGTTCAGGTCTTTTGCCTCCTTGGGTAGGTTTATTCCTAGGTATTTTATTCTTTTTGGTACAATGGTAAATGGGATTGTTTCCTTAATTTCTCTTTCTGATAGTTCATTGTTAGTGTATAGAAATGCAATATAGATTGCTCTATGTTGTTAATTTTGTATTCAGCAACTTTGCCAAATTTATTGATGAGTGCTTGTGGTTTTCTGGTAGTGTCTTTAGGATTTTCTATGTATAGTTTCATCTCAT